CGCCATAGCACAGCCCACTCCTGCCCAACAGAGCAGAGTCGTAGAGAAGTCTCTTGCAGAATCTGCCTCATTGACCAAAGGTGTGGTGGAAGGGGTGGGGAGAAGGTTTCTGCCCTTTATGCAGGCAGCCTGGCTGCACCAACCCCCTAGATCTGCTTCACGTCTGACCCGAGAACCAGCTGGCTCAGTTCCGCTTCCAGACAAACCCCAAGGGGCTGGTGACGCTCTGGAGGTTCAGAGCCAGCTGACTTCACAGCTGAGTAACTCCTGCCTACACAGATTTCTAGTTGAAAACCGACCCATTGTGAACTGGGGAGTGGCTATGAGGAGGGACCTGAGTTCAGATCGCAGAATCTACATATAAAGCCAGCTATAACCTATAACCAGAGCCCTTCAGGGGAGTGGACGTGGGGACAGGAAGATCTCTAGGGCTTGCTAGCCACCAGCCTAGATGAAAAACAGTGAGCTCCAGGTTCAGTGTGAGAATCAGTCTCTAGGGAATAATGTGGGGTTGATAGAGAATAAATAATGCCCTCCTCTAGTCTCACAGGCAGAATACCCTTAGATACGTGTACACGCACACGCACACTCACACACACTGACACGTTCTGGTACTAAATCTCACTCTGAGAGTTGTACACTTTAGACTTAAACTCACTATGAAGCCGAAGGTGACCTTCAACTCCCGATCCTCCAACGTCTAGCTCTCCAGTGCCAGGTCATGTGGCTGATTTGCCCCTGTAGGCACAGTTTGTGTGGTGCCGGGGCTCAAACCCAGGCTTTCATACCAAGGTGCCACACACAGCCCCTGGGCCAGCTCCTGTCAGGGTAGAGCTGAGCTGTGCCAAGGAAGCTTGGATTTGAGGGGAGTGGTTAAGGTGTGATTGGGAGGGATGGCCATTACCTTGGAGCCCTTAAGAGCACTGTCCCTGGTTTGGCTCAGGCCCCACAAGAAGTGGCAAAGTCGCTGAGTGCAGCTGAGATTTCTCTTGCCCTGTGTTAAACTATTCACTCACTCAAATCAGGCTTTTGATATCTTATTAGTTCCTGCATCTGTGGTGGTGGTTGGGTCTGTGCACCGGTGTATGTGTGTTACACATATGTGTCTGTCTGTATTCAGGTGTGTGTGTTAGACACATGAGTATGTGTGCAAGTGTGTTACACATATGTGTCTTGTGTAGGTGTATGTGTTAGACACATGAGTATGTGTGCTAGTGTGTGTTACACATGTGTCTGGTCTGTGTGCAGGTGTGTATGTTAGACACATGAGTATATATATAAGTGTGTGTTACACATATGTGTCTGGTCTGTGTGTAGGTGTGTGTTAGACACAAAAGTATGTATGTAAGTATGTGTCGCACATATGTGTCTGGTCTGTGCGTAGGTGTGTGGGTTATACACATGAGTATATGTGCCTGAATGAAGATGTGTGTGTTATATGCACATGTGCATGTGTTTTACATATGTGTTTGTGTGCAGGTACTCCACACATACATGTGCATGTGCCAGAGACTGACACCAGGCATCTTTCCCTTTCACTCTCCACCTTATCTTGTCTAGTCAGGTTCTCTCACTGAACCCGAACTCACCAATACAGCTAACCAGAGAGCCCCCCGGGGTGCTCCCGTTTTCTGTCCTCAATGCTGAGGTGACAAGCAGGCCTTACTAGTGCATCTGGCTTTTCAGTGATGCTGAAACTCAGCTCAGGTCCTTGTGCTTGTCCACTGAGCTGTCTGCCCAGTTCTGCTATTTTGTGCCAGCAGAGGTATATACTCTTTTCTCCTGAAACCCTAAAGGAGGGTGGAGCCTTTAACCTGGCGCATGCTCTCTGGGTACCACAAAACTGGCCAACTTCTCCTTTTTGTGCCCAGGCCTGATTTCCCTGGGCGTTTGAGTTGACAAATCTAATTTACACGAAACACTCTGTATTAACACTCATCCTGAGTCACAGCAGGGCAGGAACTGAGAGCCTGATTATTGTTGGCTGGCTTCTAGAAACTTCCCTGGTACGGAACAAACAAGTACACTTGACTGAAAAATCTGAGGCATGTACCCAGAGGACTCTACTTCCTACTACAGAGGCACTGGCTCATCCATGTTCATTGCTGTTCTTTTCACAATAGCCAGGAAATGAAACCAACCTAGATGCCCATCAACAAATGAAAATGTGGTCCATGTGCATGATAAAATTTTATTTAGTCATTAAACATGAAATTTGCAGGAAGATGGATGGAACTTCGGTGAAATAAGTGAGGTAACCTAGGCAGAGGAAGACAAACATTTCATGTTCTTTCTCGTAGGCAGAGCCTGGCTTCTCCTTTTTATATATGCATATTGATGTGGGAGTGAGTGTGTGTGGCTAGGTCACAAGAGGCCAGGAACAAGAGGTCCTAAGGGAGGAGGCTGTGGAGGGTAGCAGACACTCACGATATGAAAATGGAAGAGGTAACAGGATACAAAAGGGTCGGGAGTGCAGGAAGATGGAGAGGAGCTTGTACTGGGATAGCAGGCAAAACTGAGTAGTGTGTGTGTGTGTGTGTATGTGTGTGTGTGTGTGTGTGTGTGAGTGTGTATACGCAACATGAGGAAATCTGTTACTAATTTAAGAAAGAAACTGGGCTGGAGAGATGGCGCAGTTGGTAAATTCCTTGTAAGCGTGGGGACGTGAGTTCAGTCCCCAGACCCCACACTTGTAATCGCAGTGTTGGGGAGACAGAGGCAGGTGGATCCCTGGGGCTCAGCAGTCAACCAAATTGGTGAGCTCTAGGACAGTGAGAGACCTTGACTCAAAGGAGAGGGACAGCCTTTCTGAGGACAACACTAGTGTGTGTCCTCTGACCTCCACACACCCCCATGTCCTCATGCACACCCCACCCCATGCATTAAAAATAAACAATTTTCTATGCACTGGTAGTGTTAATTGTCCCTGTGTGCTGCTCAGGCAAACAGCAAATACTCCTTGTTAACTTTTCATGATGCTAAATAACTTAAAAATAAAACCAACCATGTGCAGGATAGCCACAAAGCGATATAATTTATAAACTTTCAGTTTCGTCCCAGAACTGCTAAAAGACCACAGCAGCCTCGGTCTTCCAAGAATAAGGCCCATCTTAGACATAACCCTGCGGCCCTTCTCCCTCTAAACCTGATGTGGGGTGGATCTTTAGACTCTGGTGGAGTGAGGCAGGATTAAAATCGCTGAGCTTCTTCACCTCACCTAAGACCATCTGCACCATGGGTAGTGAGTGACTGCGCCAGCTAAAAGAGCTTCTGCTATTGAGAGAGAGACAAGGAGTATTTCTATAGAGGCCTGTGAGCAAAGTCATCCATCCCATGCCATGATGCCTGCTGGAAATTCATCTTTAATATCTTAATAAACGACTGTGTCAACTGGCACAGTGCTAAAAAGCTCTACCCAGTGCTAGTTCTTCAAGCTCGGGCATGTTCATAGACTCTGAAAAATCAGGTGTCACCTACCCAAAGTGTAACATGCATAATCATCCCTGGTGTCTTCTATGCTAAGCAGATTCATACGCTAGCGAAATGGGTCATGTGACATAGAGTTTGATGAGGAGGAGGCCAGACAGGCCTAAGACCTGCAGCAGCTGGGCAGATGGTGGGAGACAACTCAGTCCTTAGAAGGGAGGGACCCAAGCATAGAGGCGGTCAGAGTGTTTTCGCAAGCTAACTGCAGCCCTAAAAGTGACTGAGTACCCTAAGTAGGTCCCTTCCTAGTATGGCTTCTGCTTTTCCTTCCTGAGAGATCACAGGAGCAGGTTCAGGGCTATGTTGCTGATAAAGAACAGTTAAAGTGCTAATGGACTATGAAAGAGATGACTTCAAGAGAGAGAAGAATCAATGCCAGCAGCCACCTGGATGCCTCTACTAAATGTAGCACAATATCCCTTTAAGTTTTCATTAACTCTGTGTGTGTCTATTTGTCTACCTTTCTCTGTCTCTCTGTGTGTTTCTGTCTCTGTTTCTTTCTCTCTCACACACACACATACATACATACATACACACACACACACAGAGGAGGAGAATTACCCTCAAGATGACACAGTATCTATAAGAAACAGACTATGGACAGTTATATAAATATTTTCTCCAAATTGAAACATTCCCTCCTGGAGCAAGGCTCTTAAGACTCAGAAAGTAAAAGAAACTTACAAGGTGCAGAAAGCCAACAAAACTCACAAGTCTCAGGAAGCTCCTGAAATTTACAAGACCCACAAGGTCCCACTTCCAAAGTTATACAAGCATTACATAAGCACAGGTGCACTATGTCATCCAAAAGATTAATGCAGTCTCCCTGATCATTCTGACATATATAAAATGGTATGCTGTGGTCAAGCTGAAATCCAAACACATCTGACAAGCCAATGTTTCTTGTTTACATTGTCCTGAACCCAAATGTAAAAAATTATAAAAGCAGCATCTTTATCACCTAGTCACCAAATCAGTTGCCTTCTATGAAGGCTGCCCAATAGGAAGCTACAAAAATATCCAGAGAGAATAGGGGAAGAAAGAGCTAAAGTAATCATCAGAGGACAAAACAGTGAGAAACATCCCTGTCAGAAATTGTTTTTTCTAGTTTATATAGCTAGACATCAGTCATGCTAGGAAACCTATGGAAACAGATTTACATCTGCATTGAGGTGCAAAATAAAAAAAGAAATGCTTCTTATTATAGTAATCATTGGATTCAGACAACAGGCTGGATCACAGCTGCACCTATACAATTCTTTTTGTAGGAAAAGAAAGGCATCTTGCTTTAAAACTCGTCAAAAAGCCAGCAGGACATAGAAGGCAGAACCAGCTCAACTATGTGGAGTCTCATCTGACCCGGAACTTCACTATGCAGTGTCATTTGTGTCCCTGGAGTGAGTTCTTCTGGTCCCTAAGAGGGCCTTCCTTCCCTTACCCACCCACTGCAGCAGACCCGTGTGACAATCAAGGTGGGAACTTCAGGGACGAATGTCAGGAAAGAAGGACCTTACCACTTCAGGGAGCAGCCTTGTTGAAAGGTCATGAATGGCTTTGACCACTATACAGACAGATGACAGAAGAAAGATCACCCCCAAGATGACACAGGCTCTGTAAGAAAAAGAACATGGAGAGTTGTGTAGTTATTTCCTCTAAATTAAAACATTTTCCCCTGGAGGGAGGCTCATTAAGCCTCAGAAAGTAAAGGACACTTACAAGTCTTAGGAAGTTAACAAAACATACAGGTCTCAGTAAACTCCTGAAACTTACAAGACTCACAACGCCCATTCTTGAATGTTACATAAACGGTGATTTTCTTCAGTGTAACTGCCTGAAAGTTGTAGAGGGGGCTCCTGGGAGGCAGCTTTTGTGACTTGTCATTGTACTGGGACAAGCTTTTCAATTATGCAGCTGCCTTTAGTCAACCTGTGCTCCTGTAAGTAGCCCCAATGAAGCTCATTGTTCACTAATCTACTTAGATGGAATCATTTCTTTGGTATGTTGCCAATTCCTTATCTAGAATGGATTCCAGGGGCTTGCTGAAAAGTTAATGTAAACAAACCAGTGAGCTCCAGGTTCAGTGAAAGACCCTGTCTCAAAAAGTGACAGAAGAAAGATGCCTGAAATTGCTCTCTGGCCTACACACACACACACACACACAGAGAGAGAGAGAGAGAGAGAGAGAGAGAGAGAGAGAGAGAGAGAGAGAGAGAGAGGGAGAATATGTCCCTTAGGTAATAATTGATATCTTCCATTTCCCAATGTCCGCTGGAGCACGTAGCAGATGCCCCGGGTGCATCTGTTGAGTGGATAAGACCAACTAAGTAGTTAGCTAACCAAACCAGTAACTAATCATTGCTAGTTTACCCACCTACGAGTTTCTCACCATGGAGTCTGAGGCAGCATTGTCAGCTTTCTAATGGATTTGAGGAGAGGAGGGGGACTCCTATCCTTCATCCCTGTACCCTCAAACTATTCACATTGTCAAGTAACTCTAAAGTGTAATGAAAGAAGCTTGCCACCCATTTTGTTAAGTTGGACCTCACAAACTGCAACCTTCCTTGTATATACACTTCTCTTATACACAAGAATTTGCTCAATTTTTTTTTTTACTAAAATCTCATTTTTCTCTTCTTTTCAGTGTGTTGCAGACTTGAAAACCATAGCCCCTGCTTCCCAAAACTGTGTTAGGGCCTGTGTGTCAGGGGCCTTCTGCTTCTGCAGCCCAAAGCAGCTATGAATAGCTCAGGCTGCAATGCTATTTTTTAACATTGTATTAATAATACATTGTGTTTACACAGCAGCTTTCTCCTCAGGCACTCAGAGTTCTGCACATCAGCTCCCAAATCCCCCGGAGGGCTCCTCAATCCAGGTGTTTGTTTTTCTGCAGTTTATGAATGGGGAGGGTGATGTGTGTTTCATTAACACAAGGAGACAAAGCCAGAGAGACCAGGTTCGGAGGTTTGGCTCAAGGTCATGGAAGGCATTGAGTTCTACCTAGAAATAGAGCCTGAAGGGTGGGGTGGAAGGTGCAATGGGTAAGCTGTCTGCTGCACAAGCCAGAGGACCTGAGTGTAGAGCTCCAGCACCCATAAAAAGAAAAGACGGGTTGATTCCTGGGGCACACTGGCCAACCAGTGAGCTGACCTAGTGGGCTCTGGAGTCAGTGAGAGATCATGGTTCAAAAACAACGTGTGCAGGGGCCGGAGAGCTTGCTCCACAGTAAGGAATATTTACTGCCCTTCCATGGCACCTGAGTTTGGCTCTAAGAACCTACATCCAGCTGTTCAAAGCCAGCTGAAGCTTCAGTGATGGAAATTCAATATCCTCTCTTGGCCTCTTGGCCTGCATACATGTGGCATATACATACAGACACACACATACACATGTAGATTCTTTTTTAAAAAAAATTAAACATTAAAACAAATGCAAACAAAACCAAGTAGAAAGGAACTGAGGAAGATATCTGATGTCAACACCTGGCCTCCAAATGCATAATCACATACACATGTACATACACACAGGAACATGTTCAAACCACACACACACACATGCTACAAGAAATAGAACCTGATTCAACTAATGACCTCCCAGTGGCCAGCCCACTCAGCAAAGGCTCAGGGTATGATGTCACATGAACACTATGTCACATGACCACCACCTCTCTTAGTCTCCAGAACAAACACTTCAATGATTTAGGCTAGAAGCAAATAGAGAAAAGGTGACTCCTTCTCCATGAGGACTAAGTGAACTACTGGTCTGGTAGGCAGAGTGGAATTGGCTCCCTCTACACACCCGCCTTCTCCTGCACAGGCAGGCCTAGCTGAGGGAAAGGGGCCCTGAGCAGCCAGGGTTCCAGAGAGAATACACATTCCTTTTCTCTCCTGCCTAAACCCTACATGGCTTCCTGAGTTAGAGAAAACTTCAATAAAGCAAATGACCCACTTCCCCTTCCTTGCAACCCCTAATCGATGGCTCAAAGTGAACTGAGATTCCGTGGGAAGTGTGTGTGTGTGTGTGTGTGTGTGTGTGTGTGTGTGTGGTTAGGACCCACATCACCTGAGAACGTGCTAGAAGGAAACTGAGGGAATCTGCTGCAGCCCTGTTCCTAGGTTCTGCCTGCTAGGAACCCACAGGAAAGGGGGGCCGGCTCTCCATCTCTCACGGCAGGCTCTCTGTGACTATATGAGCTGATCTGCCTATTAAGCCACAGGCCACAGTTGAGAAGTATTTACTTACTGCGGGCCCACCTTTTGCCAAGAACCCTTCTGAGCACTAGAATGTGACGCATAAGCCTAAGTTCCTTCTTCAAGATGTGGAGAAAGGAAACATTTAAATCACAGAGTGCTTCCAAGGGGCCTGCAAGCTGACTCTGAGCAAATCAAATGGGCCTCACAGGGGTGGGAGAGGTGGCACAGTGGGAAAAGCGGTTTCCACCATGCAAGCAAGAGGACCTGAGTGCGGATCCTAAGCACTGTAGGCCCATATTTCTATATGGTGTGGCAGCCGGGCTCTGAAGCCATAGGCCCCATTTGAGGTGGTCACATAGCCCTGCAGACAAGCTGTCTCTGCCTAACAAAGGGTCAGGATATGTGTTGCTTCTTTCTTTGTAATTTGGAGGATGCCTGATAGAGATGCTGATTCAAGCCTACATGACAGCTAGCATACACAGCAGACAGGTAGATGTGGACGTGAAAAAACTCCATTCACCTGGTTACTTAGGAGACAGGTGTTTTCCCGCTCAGTTATGTGTTAGTATAAAAGTTGTTTGGAGAATAAATGCAAAGAGATCTTCAGGAGAGAAGAAGCCTGAGATGCCCTTCCGCGATGACCGTGTAAGATGTGTCTGATTATTCCTTGCGGCTCTGTACCAGTCCAGTTAGGGAAAATAGTTATCTATGTTGGGGCCCACGGGCTCTAACAGAGCACCTATGTAAATGTCAGGTGGGGTAGACTGAGTCGGTGATCCCAGCACCGAGGAGGTAAAGTCGGATGAATTCCTGGATTCACTGGCCGGCCAGCCCAGCACATCAACGAGAGACTTTATCTCAAAGAATAAGGGGAAAGTGATGGGGACATTGGATGCTGACCTCTAGTCTCCACGCCAATACATACATGTACACATGTGTGCCTATCATACTCGTTTACATACACATACAAACAGGTACCTACAAAACACACACACACAATTTCATTTATAAAGAGCAACAAGTGCATCCTGGGAAAGGCTTTTTGGGGATGTATCAGAATTCTTTTATTTGTCTCGTTAACACTGCACCCCCACCCCTTGGTGTCAGGAGCCATTCTCCTGACAAGAGGAACAAGTATTTGGGGAAGAACCTTCCAGACAGAAGGAAGACAGGACTTTAATGTGGAAGTCTTCCTGACATGATGGGGATACAGCCAGTCTATGAGAGGAGGGGGAGGGGACAGAGTTGGGATTAAGGGCATAAAGAGAGAGGTAGGGTCATTGGGGAGTAGACCCTTTGAGTTCTTTGAGCCATGTAGGGGTATGGAATCTCTAGGATGGGAAGCCACGGGGGACCAGGGCTTGGAAATGACAGGCGGTGGCATGTTTTAAAGCAGGACTGGGCTCTCTCTGGCAAAGCAGAAACAGGAAGAGCAGCTGAGGCTGCTACAAAACCCAGGCCAGGTGAGGGTGGGACCGAGCAGGGTGGGATCAGAATGGTAAAACTTGAGGAGTGAGTCTGGAGATTCTGACTCGAGAGCTTCTCTGAAGGTGCCGGTGGACAGGTCCTCTTAAGTATGGTCCAAAGCTAACGGGAGTCAAGAATGATGCACGACCTCGAAGCCTGGAGAATGGGCCAATGGAGTTGTTCTCCTCTGAGATGGAGACCTCAGAAAGAGTGGGTGTTGACAGGGGAGTATCAAAAGGTCCATTTTGACACACTGAGTTAGAGACGTCTCTCAGACATCCAAGTAGAGATATTTTGTTGTAGTTTTATTTTGAGACATGGTCACATTTAGTCTAAGCTGGCCCTGAATCCCCATGTAACTAAGATTCTCTTGCAATGACAGCACCCCCACCAAATGAGCCGCGCTCTGAGAAGGGCAGTTACGGGCAGGAGCTTAGATTGCCCAGGTGGGGACACGCTCAGGGAGTCCCCAGCACACAGACAGAGTTTAAGCCTTGGACACAGATCTGATTATGACAGATGTCCAGAGGTAAGAGTCCATGCTGGGTCCTAGCTGAGAAGTGGGCGAGGCTCACCACGGAGGAGCCTTCTGTGGCGAGCTGAGCTGTAGAAACTCTCTTCTGAAGCCATGGGGAGCCTCGCATCTTTGACGGTGATGGAGTGAGACAATTAGACCTGCATTTTCAAGAGCGCACTAAGGTAGTGACTGCCATCAGCAGAGCCGGGCCTAACCTGCCTTATCTATGGCTCTACAGTAATGGGCCATGTATGTACCCTCCTATGTTGTGCCGTGGTGTCCCAGAGAGGCACCTGCTCCATGCTGGGCTGATCTATCTATTCTCTCTCTCTCTCTCTCTCTCTCTCTCTCTCTCTCTCTCTCTCTCTCTCTCCCCTCTCCCTCTCCATCCATCAATCTAATCTATCTATCTATCTATCTCTCTCTATCTATCTATC